ATGTCAGTAAAAATGATATCATGGAAGAGAATGAAAGGGCTATGGAGCAAGAAGCACAAAGTGGTATCTAGATATAAAAGAGTTACTGGATGAATTCCAAGTAATCTTCCAAGAACCAAAGGAATTACCTCCTTTGAGGAACTGTGAGCATCAAATTGATATTAAAGCAGGAGAAAAACCCTTTAAACAAGCTCCATACCGATATCCTTATCTGCAAAGGCAAGAAATAGAAAAGCTTATAAAGGAGATGTTGAAGCTAGGAGTTATTCAGCATAGTCACAACCCCTAATCTAGTCCTGTATTGCTAGTAAAGAAGAAGGATGGAACTTAAAGGTTTTGTGTGGATTACAGAAAACTGAATTCAGTAACCATAAAGAATAACTATCCCATTCCATTGATAGAAGATTTACTAGATGAGTTACATGGAGCCTCAGTTTACTCTAAAATTGATCTAAGGGCTGGATATCATCAAGTTAGAATGAAGCAAGAAGATATTGAAAAGACTGCCTTCATTACTACTAGTGGACTCTATGAATTCACAGTTATGCCATTTGGATTAACAAATGCCCCAGCCACATTTCAAACTCTAATGAATAATGTGTTCAAGGACTGTTTGAAGCAATTTGTTTTGGTTTTCTTTGATGACATACTGATTTACAGTTTGGACAAGGAAACACATAAGAAACACTTAAGAGAAGTCTTTCTTTTACTTCAGTAACATGCTCTCTTTGCCAAAAGGTCTAAATGTACATTTGGGGTATCACAGGTGGAATACTTGGGGCATATAATCAGTTCAGCTGGAGTAGCTGTAGATCTTGAGAAAATCAGAAGCATTGTAGAATGCCCAGTGCCTTCTACTATGAAGGCATTAAGGGGTTTCCTTGGTATGACTGGATACTTCAGGAAATTCTGTTTTCAGTACGGAATCAAAGCCAAACCCTTGACCAATCTGACTAAGAAAGAGATGTTCAAATGGGATGAAACAACTCAACAAGCCTTTGAAGCACTTAAGGCAGCTATGTGCGTTGTGCCTGTTTTGCAGCTGCCTGATTTCAATAAAACTTTTATAGTGGAGACAAACGCATGTTATGAAGGGTTAGGAGCTGTATTACTGCAAGAGGGGCATCCATTAGCTTATGTCAGCAAGGCCATGGGTACCAAAAACTTAGGACTGTCCATATATGAAAAAGAATTTCTAGCTATATTATTAGCTATTGAAAAATGGAGGTCCTACCTGCTTCATGCTCCTTTTATAATCAAGATAGACCAGATCAGTCTGAAATACTTGGTTGACCAAAGGATATCTACTCCTATTCAACACAAGTATTTGACCAAATTGCTGGGGTTTGATTACACAATAAAATATAAAAAGGGCCATGACAACAAGGTGGCAGATGTTTTGTCTAGAAGGGATCAACAAGATTTCCAAGCAGTAGGGGAATCATTGGCTATTTCAGTAATTAGACCAGAATGGCAGGAAGAATTGATTGAAAGTTAGAGATAAGACCTGGAGGCTGAGGAAGCTATTCTACAGCTTGTAACTTTTCCCTATAATATGAGTTACTATTCCTATTCTAATGGAATGTTGAGATATAAAGGGAAACTACATGTAGGCTCCTATGGGGATTTGAGGAAGAAGGTAGTATCTATGATACATGGCCGCCCTAAAGGAGGTCATTCAGGAGTATTGGTGACTCTACAAAGAATAAAAACTAACTTCTGGTGGCCTCAGCTCACTCAAACAATAAAAGAGGTGGTGAAAGATTGTCATATTTGTCAAATTTGTAAACATGAACATGTTAGGACTCCAGGATTGTTGCAGCCTTTACCAGTACCACAGCAAGCTTGGCAGCACATCACCGTCGATTTTATTGAAAAACTTCCTAAATCTAATGGGTATGATGCTATACTGGTAGTAGTTGGTAGATATACCAAGTATGCTCATTTTGTACCATTGAATCATCCCTTTACACCCCAGTTATAGCTACAACATTCTTAAATCAAGTCTGCAAATTTCATGGATTTCCGGAATCTATTATATCACATAGGGATAAAGTGTTTATTAGCATATTCTGGAAGGAATTGTTTAAATCAATGGGAGTTCAACACCATCTAAGCACTGCTTATCATCCCCAAACTGATGGGCAAAGAGAGAGGGTGAATCAATGCTTAGAAAGTTACCTAAGATGCATGTGTGGGCAGAATCCTAAGGACTAGAGTAAGTGGATATCCTTAGCTCAGTGGTGGTACAATAGTTGTTACCACACTGCTACTGGGATGAGTCCCTTTGAAGCCTTGTTTGGATACAAACCACCTTTGATCAATATGGGTCCTTATTCAGAATTATCAGTAGTGGGAGTGGAGAATGAGTTGGAAAGAAGACAAGCTGTTTCAGAAAAACTCAAGTACCAGCTGAATATATCTAAACAAAGAATGAAAGAATTGGCTGAATTGAGTACAGGAGACTGGGTCTATCTTAAACTCAAACCTTACAGGCAGCTAAGAATGAAGAAATCAGCTATGTGGAAATTAAGTCCAAAATACTGTGGACCATTTCCGGTGATAGAGAAAGTGGGGGCAGTAGCTTATAGACTGGATTTACCCGAGGGGAGCAAAATACATCCAATATTTCATGTGTCCTTACTCAAGAAACATGTGGGAGTGAAGGACAATATTTCAGAATCTATACCAACTTTGAATGAGGAAGGGAACATCATGCTAATTCCTGTTGGAATTCTAGCTAGGAGAATTGTGAAAAGGAACAATGCAACTGTAGTTCAAGTGCTTATCAAATGGGCACACTTGCAGGAGGATGGGGCTACTCGGGAAGACTATGATTTGATCATCAAACAGTTTCCTCAACTAGAAGCTTGTGGACAAGCTTCAAAGGAAGAAGGGAGTAATGTCAAGATTAAAGCATCACTATTCAGAATTAGAGCCATTCCTAACAGTTTAGCCACGTGGATAAGAGGAAGAGCGAAGACTCAGCTGGCCAATGAATAACAAGTGATTAGTTGTAGTAGTTGGGAGAATAACTGATCGGTTATTACTGTTGTAGAGTTGATAGAGCTATAAAAGGCCAGCCATGTACTATTTTTACGATCATGAAATGAATAATACAACTTCTTCTTCTCTACTTTCTCTTACCATTTCTGGTTATTCATTTCTGTGTGTTGTGATTGAATGAATTACATGTTCTATCATAACAGTGTGAAATGAACTTCCCTGGACATCGACGACTGGTGGACAGTGGACTTCAAAGGGTGTGCGACGGACTTCCCTGAAGTTCGACGACGGGTGTCTGACGGACTTCATGGGGTGTGTGACGGAGTGAGGTTTTGCTTGAGGCTGGGATGGAGAACCGAAGAGGGTAGCTACTTTTTTTAATAGTCCATGTGTCGGTGCTTGGGCTCCCTTAATCCTGGAGTCTATTGACTACCCTCCAAAGCCTCTAGACAGTCAAATCCGGATATTATCACAGTCAGCCTTCATCGGTACTCGTACCACAGGATGAATCCAGCAGGACTTCCTTTCAACTGAATCGAGAAGGGTCCTTCTACTATGCCGGGCTTCCTTTCATCTGTATCCAGAAGGGTCCTCCCACCACGCAAACTCGCGACCTGAATTTCCATCCGAGGGGAGCCTACCATTTTTTGGGGGAAAGGGAACGATAGAGAATAGGAGGAGGGAGACAGGTTTTTTTTTGAGCAAAAATTCCTTTTGTACACCTTCTTATACACATTAGTGCACCCGTGTTTGTGAGAATTTTTTTAATCTGTGAATCCGAGTCCACAGACAAAAACTGGCGAATTTCACAGACAAAACAAACCAATTTTTGTCTGTGGACTGGGATTCACAGACAAAAACAACTCTCACAGACACGGAAGTGTATTGATGTGTATAAAAAGGTGTACACCAAGAATTGTTGTTTTTTGAGTTGGGTAAATAATTTCAAATGGTATTTATATGGTGTACTGTCGTGTACACCCATGGGTTATCCTTGATGTATCCCAAATTTACACACAAATTGTACACTGTCTATGTACATAGACATTTTAATATAGAGATATTACCCGAAATAGGACTAAAACAATTTGAAAATTCCAAAATAGGATTGACATGTTTTTATTTCCAAAATATGACTAATTACTGTCATGTTTTGGTAGTACCAGACTTTAAACATGACAATATTTTCTAAACATGGCAGTAATTAGTCTTGTTTTGGGAATAAAAAACATGACACTCCTAGTTTCGAATTTTGAAACTGTTTTAGTCCTATTTCGAGAACTTTCCCTTTAAAGTAAAATTCTGTCTTTTTTCGAATGAATTGTTTGAGTACACATACAATTAGGGTGTGCAATATTTGTACACATTTGGAGTACACTAGTATTTTTCATTACCAACACTGCCACACCCCCACATTCCACACAATAAAGTATGTTGGATTCATTACATCTGAATTTCTGCCTCTTAAACAATAGACCTACGGGGTGTCCCCGACTATGACTTTGATGGATTTAAAATGATCGTGGATTTTGAAATTCGAGGGAAGTTTACAAGATTGTGGTGGAATGTTTTTGTATATAGAAATACATCAAAATTCATTAAAATCCATGTAAGTAAGAACATCTCCAATGCTATAATATGCACGGTGCACATGTGGCATGAGAGAGATACACACAAAAGTTTAAATTTATGACATTTCTCTCTCCCTCTTTCCACGGTCTTATGTATTTTTGGTAAGCTTTTCTCAACAATTCATTCACAATATCTACATCTAGACATTATGCTCGACATTGTGGAGAAAAATTTACCAAAAACATATAACACCGTTCAAGTAAGGAGGGATATATTCTATTTATTGTTTTTTAATTAGATATCTCTCATGCTATATATGCACCATTCACGTTTGCATTGGAGATGCTATAAATAATAATAGAAATACACGGAATGTTTAAAGACACCTTGATTTTCGTAGATTCTACAGAAATCTAGATACAGGACACCGAAATTCTAAACTCCTTTAAAATACTCCGCTCCACCTTGGGGACACCCCCTAATCTCCTTTACAAACACCGAAGTCTCTTGCACAAACACTGAAGTCTCTTGCTTCCGATATTCAAATGGCATCTCAAGATCATCACCACCATGACCATCATCATCATCATCACCACGGCCATGAGTACTGCTCTCCTTCCCTTCAATTAATTTCACGCTTCCCTTCTTCTTTTTTGTTTATTTTGAGTAAGTTGCTTTATTTGCACAGGGATTCAGGAGCAACAACATGGGTTGGCCCAGATGGGAAGGTATACCACAGCCATGATGGACTTGCACCGCATTCACATGAACCCATATACTCACCTGGATACTTCAGCAGAAGAGCACCTCCTCTAACCAACAGAAATTTCAATGAGAGAGCCTTTACTGTAGGGATTGGCGGCCCTGTTGGAACTGGGTACTTTATTTTCCATTTATCCTAAATTTCAGAGTTTTAGTTTTCAGTTGTGGAAACACGTTTTAGAATAGGGTCCTAGTACTAAATATCTATATCTTTAGTTTTTCTTTTATTTATGTCAAATTGAAAATAGGGTCCTCTGCTTACTTATCCACTGTAGCAGCTGCGTTTATATCTATAGGAATTTCTTGTAAAGTTCAGTCCTTTATATGAATGACATGCTGTAGCTAAAGTCTTTTTTAGGGTCGTATTAAAGAACTCTGGATTTGAGCGTCTCTATCCAAAAATTTCAACTACATATGAAGAAAAGATTTCTCTTTCTTAAACATCCAGTTTGGAAACATAGAGGCTTCGTTTAATTTGGATGTGTTAAAGTGTTAAACCCTTCATATCACTTTCTATACTGAGCTAAATTTTTATTCACCTTGCAGGAAAACAGCTTTGATGCTTGCATTGTGCAAAGTATTGAGGGACAAATACAGCCTGGCAGCAGTATGTATTCTACTTACTATTTTAGATTCAGTGCAAGACTAAAGATTGTATATAACATATACCCCCCCCCCCCCCCCCCCAATCCATGATTTAAGTTCTTAATTTCATTTTGTGGGATGTCCCAAATTTAAGTTCTTACTTCCTTATTTGGTAGTACTTTGTGTAGCAAAAGTCTTTTTTACAGGAATACAAAATGGTGATAATATACCCGCACGGGTAGCTCAGTTGGTCGAGTGGTGGGAGATTTGGAACAATGGACCAAGGTTCGAATCCCCGCAGCGATCGGGTGAAGGTCACAGAACCTGAAATAAGGCTGGGCCTCTGGTGCGCACAGGTGTATGAGCCTACTGTCATTCTGCTGACTGAGTCACCGTGACTAACCTCCCCACCATCCTGTCGGGTCGGGGTGGGGGGCTCCTGGGGTGGGAGATTCCACCTTTTGGAACAACAAAATGGTGATAATATCAAATGATTTTTTTCTACCTTTTTTCTATGAACTTTTTGAACTCAACTTCTTTCCGTCTTTTGGGTAATAATTAGTCTGTTATCTTTTGGTCTCCCAAGTCCCAAAGACCCAAACCAAGGACTTTGTATTCCAATATCTTTGTTTGACACTTTGACCTTTTTATGTTGCTGGTTTTGGGTTCAATCTACATTCCCTATTAGGCTTCATAACCCTTCACCGCTTGTTGAAGTCTCGATCTTTGTAATCCTTTTTTGTCATTATTTTTTTTGCTTAGGAGGGATTGAGTGGTCACACTAAGTCATCTTTGAGATAATCTTACATTCTTACAGTCTTTTTGGAGGTTTAGGACAGATCCTAGTATGAATGGTGATGCAAGATTTAGAAGATGGGGATTTTCTTTATCAGTACATTTGGCTATTTTATTGTTTTAATTGATTTGAGAAAATTAATTAATTGGCCTTATAAATTTCTTGCTAACAACTCTAACTAGTTGGCTAGTTTATAGTCTAGTCTTTATCTATGCTCCGATTTAATGTTAGGGTCACCAGAATTTACAGTGAAATCACAGAAAGAATCAAAGGAACTTCACAAGCTTTATTAGAAGATGAACAAACAACAATGGCCGAAGCCCCCAAAAGAGAGAGACAATCTGTCTCAATCTTCCCAAGTCCCAAGACACAAGTCTAAAACAGCCTACTTTCCCTTCTCAGCCTTACTTCTATTTATAGCAGTCCAGCTCCTGACATTATTTAATATCTATTACAGCATTTTAACTAATAGCTATTATTAGTCAAAAGGTGGGTCTCTATCAATACTTCCCCCCAAAACATCCACCTTGTCCTCAAGGTGGGTGATAGGAGAAAGCCAAGATCTTCTGCTTCTTCTTCTTCTTCCTTGCACCTCTTCCTTCCCAGTATCTTTCAAATTTCAGGATCTTGAACTTCATGATTTGAATCTTCCTTCTCACTGCTTCTAGCAAAAACAACACTAGCTCCTCTCCCTTCCAAGCAATAATACTATTCCTATGATTTTGTTCAGGCTGGTACTGATCTTCACTCATCACCCTCTGCTCCATCTTCCATTTGCTAGTAGCTCTTGCTTCAGGGTACAACCCAAGTTCTCGGTTTTCAGTTGTTTCACTCATGTGACATGTCATGAGTGGTAGTTCTTCCAGAATAGAAACTCTTGATATACCTTGATCTTTGCCCATCATCGCATAGTAATATCTACCATCATGATCTGCATTCTTACTACTCCAACCACCTGAGTAATAAGAAATAACCTCTCCTTTACGAAAATAGGACCATGAACTACAACCAGAAGACAAAGTATTTGGATTCCCTTTCAAGTCAGCATAGGTAAAATTATCCACCAAGTCATCATTGGAAAGTGTTGTCAACACCAGTGGTTCCGGGTAGATGATCAACAAATAGCAACTCGTGTTCTCAGCGTCAGATTTCCATACCCGAATGGTTGACTGAACTTCAAGAAGAATCTCTTTTCCAACGGTCAGCATATTGAAAGAACCAGGAACATTCCATTTTTGTTGTTGATACTGGAAGATGGAAGAGTCAAGATAAGAGCTGACAAAGTCCTTGTAAATGCCATTCACGAGTACAATGGACCTAGCAGATGGGCTTCTAACCACAGAATAAGAATTTGCCACAGCAGAATCATCAAAACTATAGTCTAAGCCTACACCTCCTTCTTGAAGCGATATACAAATTGATGGCATTTTCCTTACATGTTCACCACTTATCAAAGCCAATTGGAAAATAGCAGGGTTGATTTCATGGTTAGACATCAGGAATCTGTTAGTGTAAATCTTCCAATTTACAGTAAATCCTATTTCCTACCTATCTTGGATGTTCTTAATAGGGGTAACACCATCGATTAGGAAACCATCAATCTGGTTCAGCCCTTTCATTGGAACACCCAATCCAAGTTCAGGAACGACATCAATCAAGGGTTTCAAATTGAGTATATTAGCATAGCACATATCACCGGTAAAAATATCTCGTTTAAGTATTTCTGAACCTTCAATATTGTCTGATGAAATTTCCGAAGGTTGATTAACCTCCTCTTCAGGGTCTATTTCCTTAACTGAAGGTATAAGCTGATAGGAATGGGCCCGCGTGGAAGCCAGAAAACCAGAAGAAGTAGGTGTCGAACCTTTGCTTTTCGAATTTCTGCAGCGACGTACAGTCCTCGATCGTCCTCTTCGGTGACGTTGCCGCAGCTTGGTGCGCACCTCGTCCAACCCTGTTCTTGTTTCCTTTCTCTTCTCCTTCTCCTTCTCCAGTTTTGAGCGCTTTTCATTTTCTAGGGTTGGCCACTTCTCTTTCTCCATTTTTCCTCGCTTATCCTTTTCCGCGAGCATCCCCACTTCTTCGCGCGGCTTCTTTCGCGAGTGCGGAACAGTTCGCGACTCTTTCTGCAACTCCTGCGAGTGTGAATTAGTTCGCGACTCTTTCTGCGACTTGGTGAGCGATTGCGACGGACTCGGCTTGTCACAGGGACGATGATGCCTGGTGTTGCTCGATCGATCTCCATGTTCCTTTCCAAGCTTCGGTTCTTGATGCGACGTATCAGAAGTGTGCGATTTATTCCTCGAACGACTTTGAAGTCGGTTCTGCAAATCTGCAACGCTAGCTTTCATCGCCTCTTGCATAGCGACCATACTCGCTTTTGTCTCCCTCATAATTCGGTCAATATTATCAAAACTCTTTTCCATTTTCGGTGTCAGGTAGAATTCCTCCTCCATGATTCAGATTCTTCGTCTCCAGGATGTAACAGCTCTGATACCAATGTTAGGGTCACCAGAATTTACAGTGAAATCACAGAAAGAATCAAAGGAACTTCACAAGCTTTATTAGAAGATGAACAAACAACAATGGCCGAAGCCCCCAAAAGAGAGAGACAATCTGTCTCAATCTTCCCAAGTCCCAAGACACAAGTCTAAAACAGCCTACTTTCCCTTCTCAGCCTTACTTCTATTTATAGCAGTCCAGCTCCTGACATTATTTAATATCTATTACAGCATTTTAACTAATAGCTATTATTAGTCAAAAGGTGGGTCTCTATCATTTAATCAAGATTATAAAACCAGCTTTTATGGGATTCATAAATCATAACAAGCATATTCCTTGCTGTCACCTTTTCCATAAAATGCTTCAATGGTTTATATTTTGTTAGGGACCCAGTAGAATGAGAGTAAATAAGAAGAGTAATAACTAGAGTAGTATAAATAGAATAAGCTGGGAAAAGTCAGGAGGCTGTTTTTAGACTTTGACTTTGGGACTTTGGGACTTTGGGAGATCGAGAACAATTCTCTTTCTTTGGGGGGCTTGGGCTCATTGGGGGCTTCGGCCAGAAATCTTTGTCTTCTCCTGTAATCGATCACCTTCATCAATAAAGTTTTCATCAGTTTTTCTTGTTAATCTTTCCAAAAATCTTCTAAATTTCTGGAGGTTCTAACATTTTTGGAAATTTAGAAGATTTTTGGAAAGATTAACAAGAAAAACTGATGAAAACTTTATTGATGAAGGTGATCGATTACAGGAGAAGACAAAGATTTCTGGCCGAAGCCCCCAATGAGCCGAAGCCTCCCAAAGAAAGAGAATAGTTCTCGATCTCCCAAAGTCCCAAAGTCCCAAAGTCAAAGTCTAAAAACAGCCTCCTGACTTTTCCCAGCTTATTCTATTTATACTACTCTAGTTATTACTCTTCTTATTTACTCTCATTCTACCGGGTCCCTAACATATTTAGAAAAACTATGGTTAACCATTGTGGTTAATAAAACTAATTAAACAAAATCATAGAAAAATGAGATGCTTGGTTTTAGGTGACTAATGACATATTCACAAAGGAGGATGGGGAGTTCTTAATAAAACACGGAGCACTTCCAGAGGAAAGGATTCGTGCAGTTGAAACAGGTGGCTGCCCACATGCTGCAATTAGAGAAGACATAAGCATTAACCTTGGACCTCTGGAAGAGCTTTCAAACTTATACAAAACTGATATTCTGCTGTGTGAATCTGGTGGAGGTATATTATTTTGTTTTTGTTCTTTTTCTGCAATACATCAATATATATACCTTTTACATCACATATGAGTGTTAAACTGATACCTGCATCCACTTCTCTTGTTAAAATAATTATTTACTTTTGTTGACCAATTTAAATAGAAATTATGAATCGAAGCAATGAAAAATGTATAACTAATTTAAAAATAATGGAAATACTTTTGTTCAATTTTAGACTGCAGCGACTGTGGTGGTATTTCAAAAGTGGCTGTGGACAACCTGTTATACCATGCAATCATATTTTTGGTCAAGAATCTATTGTAGTAATATTATTATACGTAAAACCCCTATAGATTTCGAGGAACTTACCATGTTGCAGATACTGATTAGCCGATACTGAAGCATTAATTGTGATGTGATCTGACTACATCTTTCTTGGTTGCAGATAATCTAGCTGCCAACTTTAGCCGGGAGTTGGCTGACTATATCATCTACATAATCGATGTGTCCGCTGGCGATAAAATACCACGGAAAGGTGGTCCAGGAATTACCCAAGCTGACCTCCTTGTAAGTGGCTTCCTGCTTCAACCCATTCATATGTATGAGCTGATTTCATACCCCCACCCCACTACACATGCTGCTGCTGATTTTTCTGCTCTTGTATCACTCGATGTAGGTTATAAACAAGACTGATCTGGCAGCAGCTGTTGGAGCAGATCTCTCTGTTATGGAGCGTGATGCACTTCGCATGCGGGATGGTGGTCCTTTTGTGTTTGCTCAGGTGCCTTGAGCGTTTTTTATGGATTGTGTCGCTTCCTTTTCGTTAGTTATATCCTTCATCCTCTTGAAAAAGTTAAAACCTTTACTCTATATGACAGATGTGATTAGTTTTTCAAAACATTTCATATATTTAGTTATTAGTGAGACTCTTTATATAATAGGAGTACAATTCAGTTAATAACAAGATTTTATTTTAAATACTTGAGGTTGATTTATTGAGTTTCAAGTTTCAACATGTTTTCTTTTTTATGTTCACCCCAAATTTTTTTTGGTTTTAGTTTTTCTTCCTGTTTCCTTTTCCTATCATATTCTTTCTTCCTAAAAGAACCTCACATTTAGCTAAATCTCATCTTCCAAGTAAACAGTGTAGCAGATGAAGTCCTGCAAAGCTCATAAACTGACTTAAAAACTGCTTGTGAATATATGAGGTTTTTCCTTGAATATTACTGAAATACGGATAACGAAGTATAACTTATGGAAAAATATTGCTATAGTTACTATGCAGTCACTACATTGTAGAGTAGAATACAGGCATGTCACTAAAGTTACTATGGTAGTCACTAAAATATAGTCATATTTTTATCCATTATTTCTGAATATATATGAATGGAATATCATCTGCGAAATGATTAGTAGTGATGGCTCTATATGTGATATGCAAATATTATTCAACTGCAGGTGAAACACAATGTGGGCGTGGATGAAATAGTGAACCACATCTTACAAGCTTGGGAAGTTGCAACCGGTAATAAGCGCCACTGAATATTTTACTGAGATTTCTGCATGTCTGAACCCTTCTTTTTTGCTGAGTAACTAATGATGATTGTTTTCTCAAAATCTCATCCCTTAAAGCTCCTTACTGAATAAACAAGAAATGTTGCAGACTTCCTGCAAATCAGAACTTTAAGATTGGTCTTGTTTGACAGATTTTTCTGTGAATTTTCATGACGGGCCGCATTGTCATTTATTCATTCGTAGCATTTATTTAGAAAATGACTTCCTAAGGATGACTGCAATCCTGGGGTAGAAATGCCAATTTTGTGGTTTTCGCCCCAATATCCAGGAAAAAAATGTATTCAAGGGTGCCAAAGTAGGTTCAAGTGACCTGTGGGGGGAATCCTCTACCTTCATTCACCCGACCCCATATTCTGCAAACGGAGAAAAAGAGGCATCACGGGTAAAAGGCTTCTGCAATGCGCCTGACAAGCGCAGGCCAGCCTGCTTGGACCGTGCAGCATTGTTGCTGGGTGCGCGGGTGGGTATCTGGCGTCCGGCTTTGCTTTTATGTGCAGCTGGGCTTGTTTAAAACAAAAGGTTTAGCTAAATCCGACGTCCAGGATTTATTGGGGCCCAGACATTATTTTAGGTAGATCCAACGGCTGAAATTTAGACCCAATGGTGAGAATAATTTTCATTTATTTTAAGTTAAATTTTTTAAAAAAATTGGACTGACATTTTTATATAAACATCACTTTTACTTTCATTTCAATATACTTTTATCATCATTCTTCCTCTTCTTTTTACTTGATTTTTTTACCACTTTTTTAGTACTAGTTAATAACATGACTGCACAAAGAAGCTAAGGGGTGTTAATTGGAGTTACAATGAAGATGTAGTATTATGCAATTCTTGGGTCACTATTTTCGAAGATGGTGTAGTCGGAATGAATCAAGTAGGAGATTTATTTTGGTCCCGAGTTCATACGTTGTTTTGCCAAAAGTCTAATGCGACAACTCGGATTTGGGATGCCATAGAATCACGCTTCAAAACTATCAACCGTCAATGTAATTTGTGGACATGGAGTTTGAGAAAGGCAAATGCAACCCCCCCAAAAGTGAATCCAATCTAATGCATGTGGTATGTTATTTATAAATATTTTTGAAGTAAATAATTAATAAATATTTTAAACATATATGTTCTAATATTACTAGTGTATTATATAAATTTATTTAATATATTTTGTGAATATATTAGGTTAGTGTGTGTGTGTGTGTGTGTATATATATATATATATATATATATATATATATATATATATATATATCACATTAATATACTACTACCTTTGACCCGAAAAGGTTTGCCATATTGACTTTTCTTGGTCAATGATGACATATTTTGGACAATGATTTTAATTACTATAATTGTATAAAATTTATGAATTTTATACTTTTATGAAAATATTTTGAATAAGGAACATTTTGATATAATTTTCGTATTCAAAAGAATTTTGTATTAAAAAATATCATTGGTCAAAGTTGATTTCTTATTGACAAAAAAAGTCAACTTGTCGAACTTTTTGGGACGGAGGGAGTACTATTTAGTATATATTATTCTATTTCTAAATATTTGTATACTATTATATTTTGTAAATATATATCACGTGTATGAGTGTATGTATTCTAAATATTGTGTAAATATATTACGTAATAGGTATTGAGAATATTACCCGAAATAGGACTAAAACAGTTTGAAAATTCCAAAATACGACTGTCATGTTTTTTATTCACAAAATAGGACTAATTACTGTCATGTTTGGAATTTTCAAACTGTTTTAGTCTTATTTCGGGAACTTTCCCAATAGGTATTAAATACTACGGAGTAGTATATATATACTCTATTATGTATATTACTTATATTTTGTAGTGCATGGTAACAATTTATCAAGTTTGTTAATTCTTATTTTGTCTGTAGGAGTATCAAGCAAAAATAAATTTTGTAAATGCCAATCATGGTGAACCCTTTAAGTTTGGTCATGCTTGGTGTATCCTTCAAGCATGTCCCAAGTGGTATCAACAATATGATGTCAATCTTCCTTTTACGCTCGCACCTTCACCCACTTCTGATATATTTGGTGGGGAAGGTAGTGGTTCCTCCCCGTTCGACGGTGCAAGTGGTCCACTACGGCGGTCTGAGGGGTGTCACAAACCAAAGCGAAAGAAAACAGCCAAGAATCAGATTTCCAAAATAGACCCCGTGATATTTGAGTTCATGGAAAAAATGATGAAGCAAGGTGAATTAATGGAGGAGAGAAGAGAGGAGAGATATGAGGCAGCGAGGTTGAATGTTGAAATGGCAAGGCATAAGAATATAGATATCGTAACCATGGACATCACTTCGTACTCACCAAGGAAGCAAAAATGGCTAAAGGAACAACAAAATCTCATCTTGGGTTATGATCAAGATGTCCCGAGTAAATGTGTACTCCCCCATATTTGACTAGGGTATGGAGGATTTATATATAAGTAATGTTGTATTTAGATTTTTCGTTTTATAATTTCGGAGTTCAAAATAAGTTGTATAAATCATGATTTGAATATAAATCATCACTTGCTTTCAACTTGCCTTATCATTTTACATCAATTAAATTAGATATACACACACACTTGCTCGTCAAATATCCTATCCACTTGGTTCATATTTTTGTTTAAATAGATGTTTCATAGAGACCCAATTTTGCTCATATTCTCCATACACTAAAATATATTACCATGAGTTCTTATCTCAATATGAGAGAAGCCCCCTAGGTGAGCGATAATGGTGAAGCCGACTCTCATCGTGGCTATGATGGTGACACTTATTGCTTCAAACTCCCGTAGTCGTGTGTAAATTGATCGAGACAGGAAAGATGGACATCGTTGTTTGATGGACGAATTATGGAATCCAAATCCAATTTAGAATGCAATCTAATTAGTTTGACCGCATCATGATGTGTGAATTGATTCTTTCATTGCATCGAAGATAGATGTATTGAACCAGTTATGTTATTGGGTAAGACATCCACTTCATATTTTTCTAGCTATTTTCCCTTGATAAAAAAAACAAATGACACATATCCATGCTCGCAAATGGTTCCTCTATTGATATCTTAGATCAGTTATGCCATTTTAGGGATAGGTCGTGTTTGCAGAATTGTTTATGTCAATTATCTTGATATATGGTTCTTGGTACCTTAGTATATATGTCCTAGCGACAATCATTTCTTTAAAGACATATGTACTTGATCACATTTAGTTTTTATATTTGATATATACACGGTATTACACTTTATGAATGATTGTTTTCTATTGTCAATGTTTTATTCATAATTGTGTTCCCTTAGATTTATGTTGTCAATAAGTAAGTGGGAGCTTATATGATATAACATAAGGTCCTAAAATAGCCCCAATCAATGATCATCAAAAATGGGATATTGATGATATGCGATAAGATTGGTATGTGGACTGCATCATACTTTTAGAAAGTATAGTTGATCTCACGACTATGAGTTCTTGTAATTCATGATGGTCACATAGATATTTTAGAGAATATTGGCATACCCACCGAGAAACCATTTGATAAGTTCTATTCATGTGTCTATGGGATTATCGGCGTATAGAGTAGTGTAATAGTCCTCCGACTTGAGGTCAATACGTACTACATGTGCGGAGTGATGTACTTTGACCATGACCAACGCTTGCACTCCAATCGGGGTAGATACGGCATGTGTTGGGTGCATCACGAAGCACATGGAGTAGTAGTTGAGCCAAGAAAGGATTCATTCCTCATAATAGATTAAGAGAGAACATTCTACTTCTCATATCTAGATGGATCATAAAGTCATTGGCCAATGCAAAGATATATTCGTTTTGAATATCGAATATGATCGTTATGGATCATCTAGAAAGATTGAGAGACAGAGACTGAGTTATTGGGATAGACACTATATCATGTTCTAGACTTAGTTGAATGTTCGCTGAATGAAAGGACCATATCACTATGAGCTCTATATTACAGGGAGTTTGTATAGTCCTCGCAAACGTCCTTATATATTAAGTTTGTCTGGAGAATCGTCTAGGGATTCGCTAAGACCTTAATTTGATTAGTGCTTAATATATAAGGCCCTATGGGTCACACAACAAGTGATTATACCTTCCGATTGAATTGTTAGAAGGAATTAAATATTATTAATTGGATTAAATAATATTTAATTCGTAATACTGAAAATGAATTAAATATTAATTAGATTAAACATATTTAATTCATGAAGCTGAAGGAGAGTTCTATTTGATAGAATTAATTAAGTAAGATAAATTAGATTTATCATACTTAAATAAGATGTATTTATTATTAAATAAAGTAGATATTTTCTTTTGTAATTTGGAATTAAAAGAAAAGTAAATAAAATAAATATTAATATATAATAATTAGAAAGTGGCGTGCAGCCACATCTCAATTATTATTATTATTATTTTGTTTTGTTTTATCTACTTATTTAATTAATTAGGAGTATTGGTCCTAGTAGGATTAGAACTCATTAATTAGAAAAACTTTCATTGTGATTGGGAGACTAGTTTCGAACTAGTATAAATACATCCTTCTCCTTCATAATTTGTAGACCAGTTTTATAGATTCAGTATTACCAGTTTATTTCTCTGCCAAGAGATTTCCTAGCCTTTCTCTAAGGGAAATCTAACTGTTCTTCCGGGAAGGAGAAATCACGTGGATACCAAAGGTCAAGGATTATCACCGCTAGGCTGAAAGATCTGTAAGTTCTAAACTCAGAACTGTTATTATTATCATATTCGTTATTTTGTCATAATCAGGGAAGATCTGTTTGGGAAAATTTTAAACTTCCGCTGCTGTACTTTCGAGGTATGTCACATCAATTTCCCAACACTTGGTACCTAAGAACACTGAGCCTTGATGATCACCACCTTCTTCTTGAGAGTTGAGAAGGTGTCAAACAGGGGATTCCTGAGTGTGATTGGTTCAACCGATTATATACAGTGGCGGGGCTAGTTTGGGGATCTTGGAGAGGCACATAATGGGAAGGGGAGGTCTTCAGCAAGGCGGGTGCCTTGTTGCGGCCCTGGAATTCTAGTCTCCAGGAAGGCAGGTGGCGCCAAGAGAAACAACCGAATATGATGGGACGTTTGTGTACTCTGGGCTGTTTAGAAGATGTTGTGACTGTCGT